TTGGGCACACACGCACACGCGCCCGGCGTGAGTTTTAAGCCACCGGGTCCGGGACACTAACCACGGTCGACTACGTGGGAGTCAAGCGACATAGCCATTACGCTAACTGCTGGTTCCCAGAGAGAGAGAGAGATGGCCTCGATGCCGCAATCCTCCAACCTCCATAGATTTTTGCCATAGGGCGGGCGCCACCGCGCCCCTCAATTTCTCACTCACTGTGTCTGTCAGGCTCTCTTGCAAGCGCAGCCCCTCCTTCCCCCAACTGCTATAAAGAAAGAAAAGATCACCTGCCCTAAGGCAAAAATATCTACAAAAAAAAAAAAAGAAAATCACACAGGCCAATTCCGGGAATAGAATGGAAGAAAAGTGATTGTGATGTGGCCATCCTTCCTGGGGGTGATTTCTCACTTCCCTTCTCACTGTCTGTTTGGCTGTCTCTCTCTCTTTTCCCTGAGAGTGCATGCACCTAAGACCAAACAAATAAACATTTCTAGGATGTATGCCTTTTTTTTTTTTAAGAATTATTTTATTTAACTTTTTTTTTTTCAGTATGATACAGCCACTGTTTACTGACCAGATTACAAAAATAGTCATGGTGGATACCTTAGTTCATCCTTATAGTAAATCTGTTGACTTCTCACTGTCTGTTTGGCTGTCTCTCTCTCTTTTCCCTGAGAGTGCATGCACCTAAGACCAAACAAATAAACATTTCTAGGATGTATGCCTTTTTTTTTTTTAAGAATTATTTTATTTAACTTTTTTTTTTCAGTATGATACAGCCACTGTTTACTGACCAGATTACAAAAATAGTCATGGTGGATACCTTAGTTCATCCTTATAGTAAATCTGTTGACCTAGTCTTCCCTGTTGCCAGCATCTCCACCTTCTACAAAATGGGTGGTCTTTTTCTTCATTCCACCATGTGGAGAAGATAATTTGAAGGGCCACAGGAAGTTATTTGCTTCTTTGAAGCATTTTCCAACAGTATAGATTTCATGAATCAGATCCTCCATGCAGATGATGCTAAATTTACCAAGAGATCAAGCAATTGGGACCAGCAGTTAGCATAATGACTATGTCGCTGGACTCCCACATAGTCAACCGCGGTTCGCGTCCCGGATCTGGTGGCTTAAACTCACTCTGGGCACGTGTGCGTGCGTGCCCAAGATCCCGGGAGGAGAATGAAGGAGAAGGGATTGCGGCGTGGCCATCCCCCCTGGGGGGTGATTTCTCATTTTCTGTCTCTCTGTCTCTCTCTCTCTCTCTGTCTGGAGAGTGCACGTGCCCTATAGCAAACATCTCTCCAAAAAAAGAAAGAAAAAAAAAAAAGATCAAGCAATCAGTTATCGGTCAAAGCAATTTGTTCTTATTGATTTTGCCATAACCACGGTTTGTAGATCAGTTCATTTACTGACTTCAGGTTCGGGTACCCCCATGCAATATATGATTCCACAATTCTTAGCATGTTAATTGAGGCCTTGTTGAGTTTAACAAAGGAGCCATTGAAGATCTGGCGAAGACGAAGAAGCTGCAACACCTTTCGACCCTTTGGGCTCACTCCATTGATAACCTCTGATCCTGATGACGAACGTCAGTGTGGGTTCTGCAGGTACATAGAAGTTGCCAGCTTTTCATGCCATCCTGGTTGTCTATGTGGGAAGACAGCACCTTAACTGCCATGCCACTTGCTGTTCCACAAGCATGGCCTTTTTACTTAGATGGTTGCGAAGTTTAAAACCAGGCTCTGCTTCTTTGTGATCTTAGGCAAGTCTGCCTAACCTTTCTGAGCTTTAGTGTCATGGAAGACGGGAACAGTATTTTCCTCAGGACCCTTGTGAATGATGTATGTTTCAGAAGCATAGTATGAATAGTGGCCATTGGAATTAAGTTCAGGGCCTATGTAGCAAGCCTCTGTCTCTCTCAAGTTTGTATAATATATTTTAGTAAAGTTCAAGAACTATGCCATAAAAATTTAGGAACGAGAGAAGTAGGATCATATTCACATGATTCTCAAGTTTCAAGCAGCATGTTAAGAAACTTGGGGGGGGGCAGCAGATGGCATAGTGGTATGTTGCTGGACTCCCACATGCCCAACCATGGTTCGAGTCCTGGCCCCGATGACTTGAAAATCACACTGGATGCATGTGTGTGCATGCCTAAGATCCCAGGAGGAGAATGGAGGAGAAGGAATGTAGCGTGGCCATGCCCTCTGGGGGAGGGTGATTTCTCACTTTCCCTCTCACCGTCTCTGTCTTTCTCCAGTGAGTGCACTCACCCTATGACAAAAACCTGTGTAAAAAAAAAAAAAGATGGGACCAGCAGGTGATGTGGTGGTTAAGGCACTGGACACTTCCACATGGCTGACTGTGGTTTGAGTCCTGGACCTGGTGGCTTGCTTTCTCACTTCCTCTCTCTCTCTCCGGTCAAATTAGAATGAATAAATAATAAATAAAATTAAGTAAATAATTCTTTTTTTTTTTTTTTAAGAAACTTAGGGCACCATTCCAACCTTCTATGCTTTCTTTTATTTTTTCTCTCTCCCTAGGACTAAAGTGATATATATGACCAGAGGTAGAACAGCCAAAAAACAAAAATTATTGTTTTCCCTGGCATCAAGTAAATTTCATTTTGTATTAAAAGTTAAAAACCGATTATAAGGGGCCAACAGGTGGCATGGTGGTTAAAAGCTCTGGATTCCCACATGGCTGACCGCGATGTGAATCCCAGACCTGGTGGCTTGATTTCTCACTTTTCCTTTCTTTCTCTGTGTCTCTGGTCAAACAAAAAATAATAATAACAAATGGCATTAAATAAATAAATAATTTAAAAATTATTTGGACCAGTTGGTGGCATGGTGGTTAAGGCAACTGGATCCCACATGAGTGACTATTAAGTTCAAGTCCTAGACCTGGTGGCTAGAAAGACACTCCAGTCTTATGTATATGTGTGTCCCAAGTCCCAAGATAAAGAACAAGAAATTGTAGTGTGGCCAGCCCCTATGGGAGGAGGAGGATTTCTGACTTTCCTTCTCTCTCTGGTTGGTGAGCACAAATTTATAAAAAGGAGTTTTTAGTCTTTGGTCTGGCAGATTTGTTCTTCTCTGCCTTCGGACTGGAGTCCTCCACCGTAAACATGCTCTGCCAGATCCTGAACCAGGCCAGGAAGCATCCGAGTTTGATTCCCCTGTTTATATTTATTGCAGGTGGCAGTACTGGAGTAGCACTGTATCTCATGCGTTTGGTAGTGTTCAATGTTCAATCTTTTTTTTTTTTTTTGGAGAGGTTTTCGCTATAGGGCGCGTGCACTTGCCAGACAGACAGAGAGAGACATAGAGACAGAAAGCGAGAAATCATCCCCCAGCGGGGATGGCCATGCCACAATCCCTTTTCCTCCATTCTCCTCTCGGGATCTTGGGCACGCACGCACATGCGCCCGGCGTGAGTTTTAAGCCACCGGGTCCAGGACGTGAACCACGGTCGACTGCGTGGGAGTCCAACGGCATAGCCATTACGCTAACTGCTGGTTCCCCAATGTTCAATCTTAAAACAGAAAAAATAGCCCTGAACCCTGGAACAAACAGGGTCCCAGTGATCAGTACAAGTTTTACTCATTGAATGTGGATTACAACAAACTGAAGAAAGAAGGTCCAGACTTCTAAATGAAATGTTTCACTTATAAAGCTGCTCATAATGAAGGTCTTCCAGAGGCCATCCACACAATTTTCCACTTAACCAGGAAATGTTTCTCCTCCAAATGCATGAGATCATTTTGATGCATTCAGATTTATACTAGTTAATAAATCTCTGAAACTTGAAATAAAAAATTAAAAAAAAAAAGTTATAGCTCCAGCCCTATGATGCTGTCCAGCTGTTAAATTCTGTGTATAGAGAGCCAGATCCTACACGGCTGACCACAGTTTAAGTCTCAGCCCCAGCAGCTTGAAAAATATGCTGTGCACGTATGCCCCAAATCCCCACAGGATGGAGAAATGAAGGAAAAAGGTTTGCAGCATGACCATGTGCCACTGGGAGGTACTTTCTCTCTCTCGCTCTCTCTCTGGCAAGCACACATGCTCTTTGGCAATAAAAAAGGAAACAAAATCCTCATTTGTAATGCTATCTACAGGTAACAATAACGCCTGTTTTAGGCAGTGTACAGGGTAAACCAGGCCATCCTGTAGTCTAGTGTTTAATGGAACCAGATCTCACATGGAAAACCACCGTTTGAATCCCGGCTTAATGTTTTAAAAAACATGCTGCGCATGCGTGCTTGTGTGCCTCAACTCCTGACTGGGTGTTGAAATGGAGAAGAGATTGAGGTGTAGCTTTCTCCCTCGCTCTCTGTCACCCTATGTCTTTTTGGTGAGCCCGCATGCCCTCTAGTAATTCAAAAAAAAAAGAAAGAAGGACCAGTCGATGGTGTAATGGTTATGTCCCGTGAAGTTGACCGTGGTTCCAGTCCCAGACCTGGCAACTCTAAACTCACGCTGGACGTATGTGCGTGTGTGACCGAAGTCCTGAGAGGAGAGTGGAAGAGAAGGAATTGTGGTGTAGTCATCTTCCCTAAGTGGTAATTTCTCGCTTTCTCTTTCTCTCAGTCTCTTTGGCAAGCACAAATGCCCTATAGCAAAAATCTCTTTAAAAAATAAAAGAAAAGGGACCAGCAGTTAGTGTAATGGCTATGTCGCTGGACTCCCACATAGTAGACCGCGGTTTGCGTCCTGGACCTGGTGGCTTAAAGCTCACGCCGGGCGCGTGTGCGTGCGTGCCCAAGATCCCGAGAGAATGGAGAAGGGATTGTGGTGTGGACATCCCCCCTGGGGGGTGATTTCTCGCTTTCTGTCTCTATGTCTCTCTCTGTCTGTCTGGTGAGCACACTCGCCCTATAGCAAAAACCTCTCAAAAAGAAAAAAAAAAGAATTAAAAATAAATAAATAAAAGAAAAGAAAGAGGAAAGTATGAAGTATGTGCTATCTTGTACAGAAGAGTTATAAAGAATTACATAATGTTTCAGTTGGAAAGGCTGTTAGAGGTATACTTACTTGCTAAAAATTCTTCAACCTTCATGATAAAATAATACAACATATTATAAAGCAGGCTGGCTTCATGGGCATATGACCTGCATCTAGAAGGGCCCTGTGCTTGGCTTAAGTTTCTGTTGTCTCTGTCTTAAAATTCTTTTTTTTAGGGGCTGCCAGGTAGTTGGTGGTTAAGGCACTGGATGCTCCCACATGGCCAACCATAGTTTGAGTCCCAGACCTGGCAGCTTGCTTTCTCACTTTTCCTCTCTCTCTCTCACTCTGTCCCTCTCTGGTCAAATTAAAATAAATAAACTTAAATAAAATAATTCTAAAAGAAAAATAATTACTTTAATTGTATTCATCATCATTACTTAAAAAACAAATTTTTTTGACCAGAGAGAGATAGGGAAAGTGAGAAAGCAAGCCACTAGGTCTGGGACTTGAATCATGGTCAGCCATATGGGAGTCCAGCGCCTTAACCACCACATCACCTGCTGGCCCTGCATTGTTCTCGTTTGCCTTTTAGAAAGTTCTCCAAGCGAATCTATTGGACTGTCAGAAAACTCATGATGCATTTTTGCATAGAAAAACAAAAAAAATGTCATGACTTTTCTAACAACCTGATAATATTCAGGCAGAATTGAGAATGACTGTTATCAGCCTTAAAAAGGATGAAGTGAATATAAATCTTTTAGTTAACCCAATTAAAAGATGGGGAAATGAGCTGAATGAAAAGCTCCCTAAGGAAGACATATAAACAGCCAAAAAGCATATGAGGAAATGCTCAACATCCCTCATAATAAGGGAGATGCAGATTAAAACCACAATGAGATGCCACCTAACCCCTGTCAAAAGACAAATTTCCATATGGAAACCCAATAGTCGAGGATTGACAGTCTCAGATGGAACTAGCCTGTGGCTGACCTATTTCAAAACTTAATCTGCAAAGAGATTCAGGGTTTCTGTTCTGCTCTATGTGGGAGAGACAGCCCAGCTCCTCAGAGCAGTTTTGCTCTTTAAGATACAAGCATGTTTCTGTTCAGTCCAATGAAACCAGGAAGATAACCAGCTAATAGGCATGGAGCATGGATGCCGTGACTCACTGAACAAGCCTTTATTCTCTTTTGGAAATAAGAAAGGGACATTCACTAACTATCGTGAAACCTCAGTGTGTCTCATATAATCATGGGTACAGAGTAGGTGCTCAGTTCTTCACTGGCCAGCTATAAAGTACAAATCCAAAGAGAGCTAGAACTGAAGGACCCTGGTTCACAGTTAAACGAAAGGCCAACCTGTAAATAAATCATTATAATGTGGCAACAGTATAATATGGGAAGTTCTGGCAAAGCGTAGGGGTAGCACAAAGAATAATAACAATAATCTGGAAAAAAATGAAGAAAAGCTATTTGATGATGATGTGGATAGTAATGCCTTTGTCGTGACTGATATGCATGGTAATCGTGCTGGAAAAAGCAATGTAATACACTGTAAAGATATATGTGATTCACTGTAATATAAAAAAATTACAATAATAATAAAATTAAATAAAAATATGTAACTCTATTAGCATAGAAAAATGCTCACAATATATGGTTAAATCATTTTAAAATACAGATTACAAGACATTTATGGATTATATGACTCCATTTGTGTGAAATAGTTTAAATATGTAATACAAATCCTGGAAGGCTAAATAAAATTCAAGTCAGCAGATATAGGGAGGAGCTGAGACTCTGAGACTTGGCTTTCTACACTCCTGTACTTGAATTTTTACATGAGGAATGCAACTTTAAAAAAAATTGGGGGATCAGCAGGTGGCATAATGGTTATGTTGCTGAACTCTCTCACAGTTGACCATGTAAGGAGCAGCCCAAATCTGAGCAAACACAATGGTGACTTTAGCACATGCAGAAACATGGTTCCATGGGCTGTCATTTGCAAAGCTAAATGAATGCAGTTAACATGTGAATATGCTAGCTGCCTCTGTGTTTGGAAACTGCAGAGCAGCATAAGTTAAAGAAGCCACACATGTTGATCAGAATAGGCCCAAGAAGATAAGAGAAAAAGTATATAGAACTACATCTTCAGCCAGTTAACATCTGAAAAAAAACTGACTTTGCATTTCAGTTCCCCTCCCCAACCCCTTTTCTGCCCTTTAAAAGAATAAACCTAGCAAGAGTTTAGGGTTGCAGCTGTCTCCATCAGAGAAGGTAAGACCACCTGATTCCCGCTTTTCTTTTCTTGTATATCTTTTTGTGTGTTTATTTCTATGTTTATTTTCTAATCCACTCCCCCCCATGAGCATGCATTTGTTCAACTATGTGGGACATGGCACCACTGCAGTTCAAGTCCTGGACCCAGTGACTTAAAATTCATTCAGGGCGCATGTATGTGCATGCCCAAGGTTCTGAAAGGATAATGGGGGTGAGGGGATTGCGATGTTGCCATCCTCCATGAGGGGGGACGTAATTTCTCACTTTCTGTCTTTCTGTATCTCTATCGAGTGCAACTACCCTATAGCAAAAATCTCTTTCAACAACAACAAAAAAAATGAGAATGCAGTATTTTTTAAACTAGCAAAAGCTTTGTACTCTTATTTTTACTTAGAATAAAAGGTAAGCCTTTGATTCATAGCTTCCAACTGTTTATAAAATGAAATTTTATAACTCATAAATTCTCTGAAATTTTAAGCTTACACTTTAGTGTATAAGATATTTGTGAAAGATTTATCTCCTTTGAATTGAAGTCATTCCTATAATAGATAAGAAAACAAAAAGGCCACTTGACTCTGTTCTAAAGTGAATTGAGAATCCCATCCACATCTGATTCAAGGTTGAGTATTTTTTTATTATACTGTATTGCTTTGACAGCTTACTTGACAAAGCATTCCTACAGGGAGGAGTCACAATAAACCATGGAAACACCAAGGACTGGGTCCTATATCCTTCCAGAGTCACTCAAAGTAGGAATACTTATTGCTTAAAGGCCTCAAGAGATGCTTCTTGGGTCTACTGATGCCGTTTACAAAGCAGAGACAGCTAAATTGCTTTTCTTGATTGTTCAGTTTTTTGGGATGAAGGAAAGTCAAAAAACAATTTATTTCTGCCCTTGCATATATTGCTACTATTTTAGTGTTCTAATTATTTGGCATGCTTCATACCCTTCCATCCAATCACCAGAAAACGCTGTATGACTTCGATTATGTCCTAAATCTGACCTTTTCACCTTCCTCTGCAGTTAAGACCAGGCCTCCTATCTTTCTCATCTGGATTATTGTAATAGCTTCCTACCAGAGCAGGCCCAGTCTCTGCTCCTCCCTTTTCTCCTTACAATCTAGTCTCCACCCAGCAATCAAGTGAGGTTTTGAAAGTAAGTGGTCAGATCAAGGTTTTTCTCTCCCCCTATCATTCAGAATAAAATCCAGAGTACAAGTTTGATCTGCTTGATGTCTGCTGGCTAATTCTCCATTTTCTACTGCTCTCCCTGTGGTATAGTCTGTTCCATTTACACCAATCTCTTTTGCTATGACTCAAACACACATCCACTCCCTTAGCAAGCCCTTTGAATTTGCAGTTCCCTGTGCCTAGAACATTCTAAGAAAGAAAACAGACACTGGTTCTGCAGGCCAAATGTAGACTCAAGGTAATGACACATTTGTGTCCTCCACAAATCCCATTTACTGAGCTAAATAGAGAATCTGAGTAGATCTGGATTATTGTACTAAAGACTTTGATTTTTCTTGATTTTTTTGTAATGAATAGAAGTCCTGTGGGAGGTATTATCATCTTCAGTTTTTATTGGGAAGTACCTTCCCAATGGGGCATGATCACATCTTGGTACCATCTCTATTTCTCCATCCTTTCTGGGTTTGGGGCATGTATATATATGTGCCCAGTGTGTTTTTCAAGCTGCCAGGGCAGGTATTGAACCATGATTGGCCATGAGGAATCTGGCTTCCTTAACCATTGGTCTACAGGGCCAGTCCTATGAGTTTGCAGAATGGAAGACCAGGAGGCATTAGGGTTCCAGAAGAAATGAAATGGACACACTCAAGAAGATTAACCAGTACAGAGGTTTGCTAAGTGTAAATGGGAGAGTCAGAATTTTAATGAGATTTGACCCAACCAAGTTCAAAGCTCTTGCCACTGGCACCACAATGAAATTTCTATGCCTCTGGATTGTGACTATTAGTCATGATATCAATTTAGTGGCTTTGCAGTCAGCATTTAAAATGTGCCCCAAATCCAAAATACAGAAAAGGTAAAGGGTATGGAAATACTGTTAGAAGCAGAAACTGTGTTTAAGAGTTTGGATACATGGGGCCGGCAGGTGGCATGGTGGTTAAAGGCACTACACTCCCACCGACTGTGGTTCAAGTCCTGGACCTGATGGCTTGCTTTATCATCTCCCCTTTCTCTCTCTCTCTGGTCAAATTTAAAAATAATAAATGGAATTAAATAAATAAATAAATAATTCTTTTAAAAAAAAAGAGTTTGGATACAATTCAGAAGATTTGGTCCATGTTTCAGAAGACCTATCAGTGACCAAGTGGTTCACCAACAGAACAGGTGGCAGCAGACTAAGGCCAGGAAGTGGAGAAACAGGTTAACAGCAGCCAGTTTCACATCTTTGCCAGTGAACATCTTTGTGATCTCAACATTGCCAATAGATTACAAAAATTCTCCTCTGTTCACCTTCCCCTTTTTAAAATTGCCATAGTCCATGTATACTAGCAAAAGAGAAAGAGATAGAGGGTGAAGAAAGTACCTGCCTCCAGTGGAGCCAGGCCACACGGCAATCACTTCTCCTCTACCCTGTCATCCTGTTAGGACCTTGGGCCCGCACACACACCATGGTGTCCCTCAAGTCACTGAAGCTCAGACAACAGCAGTTGGTTTTGGAGTATCTGACCCCAACCTTCCACAACCACAAGTCTATGGGGCCAGACCTCAAAAAATTTTCTTTCTTTTTTTTTGGGGGGGGGGGTTTGCTATAGGGCACGTGTGCTCGCCAGACAGATAGACAGAAAGTGAGAAATCCCCCCCCCCAGGGGGGATGGCCATGCCACAATCCCTTTTCCTCCATTCTCCTCTTGGGATCTTGGGCACGCATGCACACACGCCCAGCATGAGTTATAAGCCACCGGGTCCAGGACGCGAACCACGGTCGCCTACATGGGAATCCAGTGACATAGCCATTATGCTAACTGCTGGTCCCTCAAAGAATTTTCTTTACATGACTCTAGAAAGAGTATGACTTTGAAACTGAACAAACTTTGTTTATGACCTTAGTAACTTTATGACCTTGAGGATGATTTGACCTCTTCCAATTTGCCAAATAGAAGTAAATAGCTACCTCTTAAAAGTTGCAGAGGGGGGACCAGCAGTTACCGTAATGGCTATGTTGCTGGACTCCCACGTAGTCGACTGCGGTTCGAGTCCCGGACCCC